CAAAGATGCCAGGCGCCCCCCCCAACCCCCCCAAAAAGAAAGAAACAATTGAAATATATGTAAGAACCACACAAAATCAGACTACACCCTTACGAAGGCCCAGTGCGGTAGACTAGTTGCCATGCACTTGGGTTTCTCACCGTCCACTCCTCTCAATTATTGCGGGACTTACGCCATTGGCGATTGTGTGCACGAGGAATAGAAAGTCGAGGGGACGGCCGCACAAGAGGCAACCCGCTTGCCTCCTCTTGCAGAGCTAATATTCAGTAATAACGTACTACGGGCCCCTTACATTCCGACAAACGTTGGTGTGACCTGCCCACTAACGTCATCCTGAAAAGGTGTTGTCGGTGACCTGCCCACTAACGTCATCCTGAAAAGGTGTTAGGTGTTTGGAGAGTGAGGCCACACACGCGCACATGACCCTATGACCATGAGCGTACACAGAAATACCGCCAAACGCAACACTCACAAATTGCCGAAGACGTGTTGGGTAACTTCATGTCATCTGCGTCAATGCGGATACAGTGAAACCCTGTGGTTTAGGGCTCTCCCGCTTACCCCCATATGTATGCCGCAGGCTAATCCCCTGGAGCTGTGTAATCGAACCAACGGACACGTTTTCACGAGCGGGACGTTCCCGGGAGGCATGTTGTATCCTCAGGGACGTTATTCCCAAAAGTCTCGCGGTACCTTTGTTCCGCCTGCCATCGGGGTCGGGTTTTTGTCGCTTGGTAACGACGTTGTGAAACAAGCCTCCTCTTCAATGTATCGGGGTTGGGTTTTCGTCGCTTGGCAACGACGTTGTAAAACAAGCCTTTTTCGTGGTGAGACGTGTACTATACTTTTCAGCGTATGTAGAGTACTACACTGTTCAGTGTACTTTTTCGTACAACTACAACCATCAGGGTCACACAGAAGGGGGTAATCACCAGGGCTTTTTTTCTTCGTTTCATTTCTTTTCATGCCCCACCTTCCTCCTGCGGTGCGTGCCTGTGGAGCTTGGGAATCCAAGACCCTCGGGCTTGGTCTCCCTCACCCCTTCGGCGGCACTCTCTCTCGCTCTCTTTTTGTCTTTCTCTTCTGAGACCCTCTCCTCTCTAAATCTCAACGAAAAGAACTTCCAGCCCTTAGCCTTTGTATCCAGTTGACACCAGGGCACAATTACGATAAAATTCGCTGTCGGTGCTACACATCACAACTTCCAATGAGTGAGTGAGGTGGTCGGTCATGATTTATGTGTTGACGTTCTCCGAAATCTCGTCCAGTGAGCTGCGTGATTCTTTGAGGTGACAGTCCCTACCGTCGACGCGTCCGGATGCAGGAGATTTTGTCGTACTTCACGGTGCTGTAACACGGCTCGCCCTTGGAGTCTAGAGTTCGCGAGAGGGGCGCTGTGATCGTGAGATTAGCACGCCCACGTCGGCGAAGACGGCCGAAAAAAATGTTTGAACCTCGTTTAAAGCCAAATAAAACCGATCTACCGCACCGCAACGTCTAGCTAATGACTGAAACAGTGGTTGCGTGCATTCACCGTGCTGTGATCTATTCGCGTTTGGAGTTTCGAGCTCGCGACAGGGGCGCTGTGATCCGTAGTCTGACCCGCTGCAGCGGGTAGCAGCCGGCGAAAAAATAAGTCTCGAGGCGACCGCGAACTGATGCACCGAAAAAAAACGTCCTGCCTTTATACTGCAACAATGGTTGAGGTCTTGCGTCTCAGGCTTCCGACAAATTAAGTCATACGCAGCTGTAATCCGTACGCAAGGAAGTAAGCACAANAGTGAAAGCACCAGAAAATAAAGTCATGCGCAGCTGTCATCCGTACGCAAGGAAGTAAGCACAAGATGCCGAACACCCTTACCAAGACGCAGCGCACCCTTCATGCGACTCGCCGAATACCTTACGGTGCTTCGCGCTTGNGTGGAAAACCGTGAACCTTAACGGTATTCAACCCACCAAAAAAAGGCCGTTGAACACGAACGACAACATTAGTCAATCTGAGCCGCGTGTACATGAAAGTCAGCTGGGCCCCACAAAGTTGGACCTTACCTTTCTGTCGCGTCACGACTAAGCATGGCTTACGTGACCCCTTCCAACGTCAACCTCACCTTCCCCCGTCTTACCCACAAACATGGTGTTTCCCGCCGTATGGTAATGGCTGATCAATTATGTCGTAGCGATCGTCTGCCCTATGATAACGAACGGTAAACTTCTTTTGCACGAATGCACTTAGCGCCCTTTAGAAACCGACTATGTTGTCGTGGATGTGGTGCCTAGAGACGAACGTTCGCACGNCCAAAAGAAGGCCGTTGAACACGAACGACAACATTAGCCAATCTGAGCCGCGTGTACATGAAAGTCAGCTGGGCCCCACAAAGTTGTGCCTTACCTTTCTGTCGCGTCACGACTAAACATGGCTTACGTGACCCCCTCCAACGTCAACCTCACCCTCCCCCGTCTTACCCACAAGCATGGTGTTTCCCGCCGTATGGTAATGGCTGATCAATTATGTCATAGCGATCGTCTGCCCAATGATAATGGTAAACTTCTTTTGCACGAATGCACTTAGCGCCCTTTAGGCACCGACTATGTTGTCGTGGATGTGGTGCCTAGAGACGAACGTTCGCACGTCCGCACCTGTGTTAGGTCAGCCGGCTGTGACGGCACTCGAGAACAAATATCCACACTGAAAACAATGATTCGCAAAACGGCGGATACCATGTCGCGAGTAGTCAAAAGCGCTGNGTCCGCACCTGTGTTAGGTCAGCCGGCTGTGACGGCACTCGAGAACAAATATCCACACAGTGGAGGGCACGAGGAGTGAAAACGATGATTCGCAAAACGGCGGATACCATGTCGCGAGTAGTCAAAAGCGCTGCAAGAACTCCCGTATCGAGGAACACACACAGGAAGTAGGTACTGGACTTCCTTCGGGATGACGGTAGAGCAAACTCCAGCCAAACGATTTTCACCACTGTATCAATTGGACTGACAAGCCGGACTCGAGATAGCAAAATACAAGCGGTCCACAGCGGCATGGGAAAAACTGCTCATCGGCGCCTTGTATCTCGTGGCCTGAACGAAGGGGAAGGTTTGTCGACTCTTGATATTCAAATGTACCACAATTCACGGCTGGCTCCGGGAACTAGGAAGNGTGGATGTGGTGCCTAGAGACGAACGTTCGCACGTCCGCACCTGTGTTAGGTCAGCCGGCTGTGACGGCACTCGAGAACAAATATCCACACTGAAAACAATGATTCGCAAAACGGCGGATACCATGTCGCGAGTAGTCAAAAGCGCTGCAAGAACTCCCGTAACGAGGAACACACTCAGGAAGTAGGTACTGGACTTCCTTCGGGATGACGGTAGCGCAAACTCCAGCCAAACGATTTCCACCACCGTATCAATTGGACTGACAAATCGGACTCGAGATAGCAAAACACAAGCGGTCCACAGCGGCATGGGAAAAACTGCTCATCGGCGCCTTGTATTTCGTAGCCTGAACGAAGAGGAAGATTTGTCGACTCTGATATTCAAATGTACCACAATTCACGGCTGGCTCCGGGAACTAGGAAGGTGTGAAGAATCGAGGCACACGTGCAGCTAGATGTCAAACTCACACGGGCCATTAATGATGTTTCGTTCAACAGGAAAATTTCATGGGCAAGCAGATACATGTTCATCAGCACATGCCACGGAAACTTCCACTTTTCGTTCCTGTCTCGTCCCTGGACAGACCCCAAAAGAATGCCGGTACCCCTCCCCCCCCNTTTCGTAGCCTGAACGAAGAGGAAGATTTGTCGACTCTGATATTCAAATGTACCACAATTCACGGCTGGCTCCGGGAACTAGGAAGGCGTGAAGAATCGAGGCACCCGTGCAGCTAGATGTCAAACTCACACGGGCCATTAATGATGTTTCGTTCAACAGGAAAATTTCATGGGCAAGCAGATACATGTTCATCAGCACATGCCACGGAAACTTCCACTTTTCGTTCCTGTCTCGTCCCTGGACAGACCCCAAAAGAATGCCGGTACCCCTCCCCCCCCTGCCGAGAGGTCCGTAGGGAAGGGAGTCGACAATGGTGCAAGAAAACTATTTTCGCTCACCTCTTTTTTCAGAGACTCGGGATATTTGTATTCGTTGACAGTCGTCAGAGAGGCGCCATTGTTCGGTGGAATGATGAGCTACGAGAAGGATAGTGTACTTGAGATAATGGTGCATTGTATATTTCTTGGATAGTAGCCAAAACGAAGGATTTGTTATTCCCTACGGAAGGAGGATTGTTTTCCCCCCNCCGCCAAGAGGTCCGATATAAGGAAGGGAGTCTACAATGGTGCAAGAAAACCATTTCGCTCGCCTCTTTTTTCAGAGACTCGGGATATTTGTATTCGTTGACAGTCGTCAGAGAGGCGCCATTGCTACTTGGAATGATGAGCTACGATGAGGATAGTGTACTTGAGATAATGGTGCATTGTTTACTTCTTCTTTGATAGTAGCGAAAACGAAGGATTTGTTATTCCCTACGGAAGGAGGATTGTTTTCCCCCCCTACCTACCCGTGCACGGAGTACGCTGTTTCAAATGTTCAGTGCACGACAGTATCACGTGGCTATGTGTAAATTGCATGCAAAACAACCGATGAAGCGTACAAGTGAACTACACATAGCCCACAAAAGAGTCGCACAAGATACAACAACGCAGATCACATTATTTTGGAGTACAAACCATGTCGTGTGTAAGCTACCTGTGCACTAGTTGACATGTGTCCGTCTCTTGGATGAAGCGACATGCTCGTTCGGGAATTGATGCAGTTTCAGAACATCCACCATCGTGATTTTTCTTTCGTTGTTGATGCCTCATGACTCGTATGGATTGATGATGTAGAACGCCTGGATGTATCCACACGTATAACTGCATCCATGATCGCGCGACACGTCCAACATATGACGACCCCCGACCCCTCGGCTGCTCGTCACACCTCGCTCCCCAACAACGAAGAAAACTTTTTGAACCAGGCAAGAACAAGATGAAGATCTCCGCTATCCTTCTCGTTGCCGGCGCTGCTCTGTTGGCCTTCACCGCCGCGGAAGAGTCGTCGCCCAACGAACGCCAGTTGAGCGGCAGGGGCAAGAGCAAGAGCAACCACGATTCTTCATCTTCTGATTCATCTGGCGATGGCTGCGCGGACCCGGCACAGGCAATCCTTGACCTCTTCGATTGCTTCGAGGCCGAGGATGTTCCTTGCGTGGTTGCTGGCTACGCCCCAGGGTTCGAGACTTACCACAACGAGAACTTGGCTGCCACAGACCTTCAATGTAAGAGGTGGCGTGGGGAGAGGCTGTCTCTTGCCATCATATGAATACCTACCGACACAGCAGCCGTGTATCTTGCCTTCTACGTCGAGCTTGCCCGCCGGTGCCCCTGGTACGCTGAGCCGAAAAAGGCAGAAACACAGAGGTGTGTGTGTCATTCTTAGTAGCATCGACCGCGCTTACCTGCTGAGCAGTGAAGAAAACGTCAGTCTCAGTGTGGTTGGAAACAAAGAACACGAGTACTTATAAATGCCATGAACTGGGACCCCGTAAGGGGCAGTCGACGTGCGTGAGTGTGTTTGTCCAAGCTATTCTGGTGCCGGTTTACAGGCCTTTCGGCGTGTATACCTGACGTGTCAGCCGGAGTAACAACAGGAGGGTGCACTCAGATGCATTTTTGATCGTTTTCGGTTGTTTGTTTGGTGCCCCACCTTTGCACTTGCTGCGCTTTCCTCTGTTATTATTGCAAGAAGGGTCCAGCCATCATATGCCCTCGTCGACCATGAAGCCGATGTGTGGCTACTCGAGACCTAGGTCGCTTCCACTTTTTACGGATTGCTGGATAAATTTGTCCCGTAGGGAGTGAGATGATGGCGGCAGACTGCGTTCAAGGAACTCTTCGTGCCTTGATTAGACTTTATTTTTATGATATATTTTCATGTGTGTTTGCCCCTGACAAGCCGGATGCACTGGTGGCACAGTAGACCCTACATGGTGCACGTTAACCCTATTATCTACGATGAATCTCTGGCCTCCATCGCTTCCTCTGAGCCTCAAGTAGCCCTCCTTTCCTTGATGCCCCGGTCCCATCCACCCCTAACCGTCCGTCCACTTCAAAGTTACCGAGGAGTTTTGGACCCTCAGTCTCTTGGTGCTGGACTTTGACTTCGACGTGAAGTTCTACAAGAACCTTGGCTCTAATCAAGCGACGGTACGCTACGTTCAGACCGTGACGACCACTGACGGGGTGAGCGTGGGGGCCCCGTCGTCTACCGAATACCCTTTCAGCTATGTCCGGCACCAGCACGAGCATGTTATTGCGACGCTCAACGACGACTGCCAGGTGGAAAAATGGGACCAGTATGGCGACAACCAGGAGCAAAACGACGTGTTCGACGCAACCAACGCTGTGATCTGCGTTATCGGTGCCTCCGGTCTCCCCATCGAGGAATGTGACGTTACTCCCCCGGATGAACCCGAGGTCGCCCAGTGAGGTGATCGCCAAAGACCGGACTGAACTATCTGCTTTGACGCATGCGGTCATAAGGGCCGTGTGTGTGACAGTATCTGGAGGCCAGATTGGTTCAGCGGAGATGACTTTCGAGATGACGTTGTACAATGTTTCGTTGACGGCGGTCTCGACGACCAAGCCTGACGACGCGCGTTGTGAGCAGTAGCCGCCGCGTACTTGATATGGCCTCGGATTGCTTCTATGACAGTGCTAGGGGTGATGTACGCGACTTGATCTGTTGCATTTTGTTTTTAGGCGTACTTGATATGGCCTCGGATTGCTTCTGTGGTAGTGCTAGAGGTGACGTACGGGACTTATTCTGTTGCATTTTGTTCAAAAGAGGAACACAATAAGTAGTAATAGTATAGTCTAAATACCGTTTCGAAGCGGGGCACAAAAAAAGAGGCCGTTCGTTCGCGATGACCGATCCGCAGTGTCGTGTGGGGATCGTTGTTGCAATCATCAAGAGACAGTCTCGAAGCGGGACATAAATGCGTGATTAACCGATCCGCAGTCAGTCTCGTGTGCGGATTGTTGTTCCTGATTCTCACTTGCAGTAGGTGCCAGGTGTAGATGGTTGTTGGTTGTCGTACTTGACAGTAGAAGACGACGTTCGTAGAGAAAAGAGTGATCTAGATTTGCTCTGAAGGGGTTTGTTGCATTTTGGGGTGTCGCTGTGCGGTGTTTTCAGAGCAAGGGGCACGGCACGGTTGGCTTGTTGACAAGAGAGTAAAATGCGCCCAAAGGCGCGGGTGCTTGAACTTGAGAGACGGTTCTGTTTGTCGAGGGTTACGTGTGGAGCGACGATGACCCGCCGCCGTCCTCCTGCGTCGTTCATAGCACCGGATTCCATGTTATAGGGCGATGCCCTTCGTTGAGCAATTGGACCAAGTTTGATGCAGTGATCCGAACGTAACATGTTCCTCGGTAGAGGGCCAACCCAATCTTGTCCTCTCCTGGTGAAAGATCAACCGCTAGTTGTTGTTGAGGTCCCGCGATCAACTTAACAAACGACGCTCTCTCGATCTTGGCATTCCGAAAAGTGATCACACTCACCGTGTGTCGTTGTAGGTGTGAGGTGAGGAGGTCGTCCGGGTCAAACTCTAATACACATGAAGAGCAGCTTCCCGCGCGAGTTTTGGGAAGGAAATCACCCTGAGGGATCTCACTAAAGGAGGGACGCAAACATGCATCAACCCCGTTCAAATGTACCCGCTTGGCCAACCGGAGCAAACCAACAATTGCGGAAGTAGGGTGGGTTCCCTCACTTTGAAGGCGGGACGTTAAATCCGATGCTTGCTTTCATTCCAAGCCTGGTCAATCTGAAACAACGATTGTTGAACCGCTCAACTCGCATGTGCCCTCTTGCTCGACCCATGACTACTCGTTCGAACCATCACCCATACCCGTAGCGTCCCTCCACAAGATCGAGAGACCTGTGAAACATGCCTTCGTTTACCCCAAGGAATTCGGGCAAGCTTGTTGCTGCATGCCCTCTGCCCTCCCCATCCTCCATCGGTGGAGAAGATGATTCCATTCAACATGCCTAGTAGAACACGTCGCGCAAATCAACCAGCAGCCACTCTCAATTCTACGCCGGCCCCGATGCTCGACACAGATAATTTATGTACACGTTGGTAAGAGACACAGATGGTACATGTACACAAAGGTGGGTGCGGTGTACCGAACCCTACTCTACAACTCGTTCGTGGTGCCGGAATGTGCACGCGTACTCCTTTACATTATTTGTCTGGACTACGCGAGACGAATCCGAATCGGAAACTTTTCCTGGGCTCCCCTCCATTCCTTGGCGTTTGGCACCAACATCGCCTCCGCCGCGGGGAGTTCCATGTCGCTCTCGTACTTCTTGGCGAAGACCTCTGACGTCAGCAGCCGCCGGTCTTCCCCGCCCTCTTTGAGATGNGACACATGATTTGCGAAAAAGTCCTCGTTGCTACTACAATACTGGGGAGGGAACTTCATGACGGTAGCACACGCATATCGCAGTTCATCGCAGCTGATACATTGTTGCGCAATTGGGAGTCAATTGAGGGTACTCCTGTGTACTCGTGGTTTGTACAAGTAGTACTTGTGCTTTGTACAAGTAGTCAACACCACACAATACCTTGCCTCTCGGCAGGATTTTGGTGGTCTTCTTTCTCTGTTGGGCGGACAAACGGAAGGCTCTGCCGAACCGAGGCCTGTGGTACTTGATTCACTTTAACAGTTGGACAAAAACCAGTTCCTTCCTGATAGCGAAGGAGCTGGCAAGAAGCAGGAGCTGGGGTTAACGCCAAGGACGCAGCCGAAACTGCACCAGCAACTCCAACGACCAACGACCGACCTATCGAAGAAGCGTAGCAGGTCCTTCTCCTGAACCTTTTTCAGCGCCTCCACTTCCTCCCTCCTACGGTCGAAATTTAGCTGCCCGGTCACAATCTCTCCCCAATTCCTGTTTACCTCGGAGGATAGGCGGTGGTCTGGCTCGAGTTTACGGCTCACCAGCCCCTGAACAAAATCGCTGGATGCGACATACAAGAAAGCGGGTGGGGCATTAGGCGATGATTTTGTCGATTTGAAGAAATATCCCCGACGTCACTTGAGATTTCATGTACTGTGGTCTCTATCGAGCAGACGGGAGTTCGAAAGCACCCTATGCGAGGCTTTCCGGTGTCATCAGCGGGTCGGGAGATTGAGAGAGCCCGTCTTGATTGGTGCTGGCGAGGGTGGCTTTGGGTATCGCTGACTGTGGTGGCATTTTGAGACTCGAAACTCGCACTGATTTGTCGAGCTAGTCAGCGGCTGGCTGCCAGAGGCAGAGGAGGGTGGCACGAGTGAAACGAGAAGTGGCACGAAATTCTCTGATTGGTCGAAAAGGCATGCACAACAAGGTTCATTCGCCGCCCTGTGTGTCATGGGTAAAACGGTTTCAAGCCCACACGCTTCGCGAGTGTAAATGCTACCTGAGCTTGCCGGGGGTCAGATCCACCAGCTGCTGCCTGAATTCTTGCACGAACTCCAAACATCGGTCCGTGAGATAGGGAGCGCTCCGCTCGGCCGATTGCACGGTCAGGTACATGAAACTGTGCATGGGGTGTGGAAACGACAACAAGAGCGAAGGAACGGGACTGCACGAGTCAACCAATGCGCAAAGCATTGAGCAACACGCGAGGCAGCAAAGAGCGGCGATCGGATTGCTGGAGACACTGGATGGAGGGAACACATTTACCCAAAAAGAATATTTTCACATGATTTCTGCCGCCAGTTTGAAGACAATTCTCCCCGGCGTTGACAAGGAGGAGCCAAGACCCGAAATTCAGCGCGCGGTCGCCCGGCATGCATGACAATGTGCCTCAGGCTCTGCATTTGCATAGCTTATTCCTTCATATTCCTGCCGCTATGTTCCAGCGTCGGCACCGAGGACGGTCTCACCGCACTCCCTCAACGCGAGAAACACCCGAAAACACCGTGTATCCAAGCTGCTGCTTGGTCCTCAAGGAGTTGTAGAACGGCTCTTCGATGGTCGCCATCAGCACCTCCGCCAATACTTGCGACTCGAGACTGCGGTCTGAAACCTGTTCGAAACAATGAGCGGGAGTGGCGAAGGGAAAGGCACAGTCGTTTCGTGAGAGGTCGACAGGGAGTGGGAATCGAAGTGTGAGGAGGTTCAAGCGTTGTTGTTGCCTGGACATGAACAACAGCTGGTAACCTCATACCAGTACCTCCAATTGCTTCCATGTCCTTCACGGCAAAACAATGAATGAAACTCTGTGTTCACAAATATCACCGAAAAAAGGTACAACTTCATGAAGACCTCCAGGGCGTAGGAAGGGCGGCGAAGGGGTTTTCGCTTCTCTGCCTGAGCGAAGCACTGGAGAGTCATGGCAGTACACATCGGTCGCCCCGGTGGTCTAGTGGGTAGCCTCGCAACCTACTAAGGGCCAGGTCATGGGTTCGAGTCCCGACAGATTGAGTTTTTCTCGCTAAATAAGTCCTGGTCTCCGTTGGAAGCGATGCGCTGCAAAGCTCGTTCTTAGTAACTTGATCGACTTCTTCAGTCGTGAGGGAAGGGATTGCTGTAACCTTCTCGCGATACAAATATCTCAGGCAGTAACCGCAGGAGGGGGTTCAACCCCCCTCTCCTATGTGACCCCGGTTGGGTCGTCTAGCTGGTAGAAGTGGAGGATAGGGGCCAGAGGGGCAGACGACAGAGTCCAATGATGGGAGAAAAACAATAAAAAAAAAACATGTTGCTGACAAACGAGGCGAAAGAGCCGAGGGGCACAGTCCAGTCCACAACAGGTGGTGGGAGCGATATTCGCCTCGCGTTCAGCACCCACATCAAGTGCAAGCTTCTGCGCTACTAGAGTACAACAGAAGAACAGCAAGGATCACGTCAGACAGGAAACGCAGCACAGGTTCTGGTATTGACTGTTGTGCCGCAGCTTAGGTAAGCCGATGACTACGAAAACCTGATCAACATTGCCTTGAAGAGCACCAACCAACAAAAAAGGAGATGCTGAATCAAGGCCATAAGTGCTGTGAAGGGGACACGGCGACAATTCAAGCCATCAACAACAACAGAGGTATACAACACCACGAACCCCCCAAGAAAGAAGAGGCGAGAAATGTCGACTGGTTGGTTGTACCCTGCCGCAGTACCTGGAACAGCAGTTGCACGGCGGAATTCTCGTTGGATTCGTCTTCCTCGGGCCTACGGAGCAAGCTCCCGTACCCCTTCGGCGTCTGCGGCAACCTCACGACCTTCGTCTCCGGGCGCTTGTCTTCCGGTAGAGGGGTCGGGTTTAACCAACGACGTACGCCTTCCATGTACCTGATCAACGAAAAAATGACAAACATTAGTCTAGTCAGTCGTGAGCCCAAACAGGCCGCCTCCTTGCACAAGACAGCAGTTGGAGCTGATTGCTTTCGTTTGGTTTGCGCTGGGTTGGATTCGACCTACAACGCAAAGTACGCCGTGTTTTGTTGGAAAACTACAACAAGCTACCTGCATTCACAGCATTGGTATTTTGGGGGCCAAGTTGGGTTAGAACGACAACCCACGCCCCTCAAATTACTACGGAGGCGTTCGGCGCTAGAACCACGATACGTTGGGATGTAGAATAAATTACTGACATTTTGAGCAGTGCCTTCATGGAGAAAACACTAGTGGACAGTGGCAGAGGAATGGAATAGACCTCGCCTCGTGTGCCATGCAGTTCTCGGCAGCTTCGAATCGCCCCCGAGCTTCGAACCTCCTCCCCTATGCATACACTACGGCAGAAAAGACGATGTGTTCCTGGTACACTATTGTCTTGATTCCCTTCCTAGCACTGTCTGCACGCCAATCGTACCTAGGGACATCTTCCTCCTTAAGGTTGCCCTGCATGAGGCACACTCCCTCCGCTTCCGCCAGGACTCGAGACGCCAACGGTCGGAGATCAGCCAGCTCGATCGAGTCCAGCGTTGCTCCGATCTCTCGCACGGTATATCTGTGCGCGCGCGGGAGGGGAGAATATCGGGGGCACCGTGGTGATTGTTGGGCTTTCACTGCTGTACAGTACACCTGCACGAGGGGAGGGGGTCTACTTTGCTAGGCAGGCCTGTTCGAAATGTGACAGGGAAGCCGACGCTTGGAGAACATGCGAGGGGTGTGAGGGGTAAGGGCCATGGGCGTGTGTAGTGTGTGGGTGTACACAGAGAGGGGTGGCATCGGCAGGGAAGAAAAAAGGCATCTCTGTTGATATTATGCATAACACAAATCAGAGTCGGTCAGGGCTAGAGAGAGAGGGCTGCTCGGGTGTCCTTATTCTCGCGCGAGAACAGTACGACCGATGTAAGCATGATCGGACTGACCTCTAGTAACCGGATCCCGTGTTTGCCTATGCATGAGCGATATTCATAGTCGCCATTTTGAGAGCTCACGCTTCGGTCGGTACCCGGTGGCCTTGACGCTAAGACTGGTTGATTTCTCCAGTTCTTACCTAACCGATGACACCTAGCACCACCACAAGGGTCAAACAACCAACCAGTCCGACACACCAATCAAAAAATGGTCGGCGGTCAAAACAACTGTCATCGCATGGATTGCTCACATCGGGTCCTCCGTTGCCTCGTCCGCGTTGACCATGGCGTGCCGGTAGGGCTGCTCATTGTCGAAGCTAGAACACCGCCGCCACAGCTGCAGCAGTTCCGACGTACCGCGTTTTCGGGTTGAACGATCACCCGCAACACGCGGATCACGGGTGCCAAATGCGTCGGTCGGCATAACAACTATTTCCGTCGTCTTTTCGTCACTTCGTTCCGGTGAGGTTACAGGAGCGTTTGGGATTACAAGCGGAAAGGGCTTTACTTCACATCATCGGAAAAAACAGGTTCCACGACGACGACTAATAGCGTAGGCAACAAAAATATCTGGGAAGTAGTCGCAACGGCGGACAACAACCACCCACCACGTCCCGCAGTCGTTCGAACTCGACCGGATCGCTGGGGGTATACGTCGCCACCGCCTCGGCGACCTTGTCGATGAACTCGGGCATCTTGTTCCCGTACCCTCGGAAGGAGAGTCCGATCCCCCTGCTGTTCACGCTAAGGTTGAAGCTCAGGCCTGCTGTCTGGAGCAAGTAGCACGGCAACAGTGAAGGAAACCACACAAGAAAACAGCAGTGAGGCACGGTAGGTGGAACGGCAGCGTTTCGTCGCGAACACCATGTGGTGTATGCTGCCAAGCAATCAAATGAAACGGGTTTGGTATGGTATACTCGCCACAGGCACGAAATCGCCCGCCCCACCCCAACAATTTCGCAACCCACATAGCTGTTTCTTTTATGCACGCAAATAAGCTTTTCCCTGCAGCCCGTAATATATCGACCGACCAGCGCTAGGCTGGTAATAAATCGACTGACCAGCGCGTCGTAGGTGTACTCGGTGAGGTGCTCGTTGAGGCAACTGCCGAAGAGGTCCAGGGCAGCCCAGGTGCGGGGACTCTCGAAGGCTGCGGGGCTGACCAGTTGAAACTTGCAGCGGGCCTTGGGCTGTGCGAAGATGTCGTCGAGCTTGTGCCTCACCTGTTGTTGTGATTGTTGACGTTTGCCACGAGGGACGTGGGCGACCGGAAGCAATTTGATTCGACACCCGAAACGGAGAGCAAGCATCACGAGCTCAGCTGCAGGTGACCACTCGCGTTCTGCAATGAAAAATCAGGATGGCCAAGAAAGAGCATGACAATCCTCGGACCACAAAAATGTACAGAACGCATCAAGATCCCATCTTCCTCACTTGTGCATTATCCGTGCACCGTGCGGTGTCTCATGACATCACAGACAAGCTCCCCAGTGTGTGGAAGTACGATACGACGGAATGCTGCGATGGTAAAGCACTCTTCTGTGTCACCTTCCACACGCCATCGTTGGAGAGGTTTTCCACCACCGTGGGCGGGTCAATCGCTTCTCCCGGCTTTGGGAGCTTTCCATCCGGCACGATCACCCGCACATCTTCGGGAATGAACGGGTTGGGACCCGGAAGCTTAAACTCCGGAATTGCCGGAGGTGCTTTCCATTGCTCGGTGTACGCTTCAAGGCTCTCCACCTGCTTGCGGGCCATGAGAGAGAGGGTGTTCATGTCATTCGACGAATAAAGGCAAGCACATCATTGCTGCTTCAAACATGACGTCGCTGCTCCGCAGAGGAGATGTCCGTTTCGGGCGCTCTTAGCTTCTTGCAAAATGAAGTTGGTTGTCCTGTGCCGTCCCTAAAAAAATTGAGTGACTTGGTCGGCCAGTTCGACTTACCCCCACTCTTCAAGCGCTTCCTGTGTGTTGGAATCAAAGCAGAGGCATGAATGATCGGGGCAGGGAGGCACGCAGAATCGCGCACACGGAAGGCGCTACCATACAAAGCCGTCATGGCAACCTCGAACAGAACAACAGCGACCTCCAAGACAGACGAAAATGTAGAGTAGAAAACTAAGCCACGAGGAACAAATATTAGAGAAACCTTCCTGGTAAGGGACGTCGAACCACTTCTCCCTTTCCGTGGCAGCTTCTTCGAAGTCTTTGGCCGTTACTGTGACCCGGGGACGGGACAAAGACGAACCCGCTTGCGGGTCCGGCCTCAGGGAGTTCAACAGGGTGTGTACGAGGCTCTCGTCGTATCTCTGCAGCCGACACGGCCCGCTGTTGTTCCGCAAGGTTTTGAAGTCGACGCGAAAACGGAACAAAACAAAATATGCCAAAATGAACGGGATCTGTCCGGGGCATACGTCTTGATGGACACACAACCACGGCCTTCTTGTTTAGTGTTTCGCAACCCTCTTGAGTTCTTTTATTCCAATGTGCATACAATCAAGCGGATGAAATCCGGCAATCCTCGTCAGCTGCCTTTCGTCACATGTCTGACACTGAAGAGTAGCGCATCACAAGGTCAAATGGCGCCAAAACATTTTTGACACCACTGCTACCAAAAATTTATGGATACGACACTAGCGTTAACAAGGATATCAGATAGTTGCTGCCAGGAATGGCCACTGCTGGGCAAGTTTTGGATTCAAACGTACAAGTGGTGGGAAATGAAAGGAAAAGGGACTGATCCCGGAACGCCATGATCAAGAATACACCGCATGAACGAAGAAAATACAAAATTCCTTTCGAAGAGAAACAGCTGCCGTCAACATACAACCCCCTCCCTGTTATGGTCATGTTTTCGAAAAGTAGGAAACACCGGCGTTTTCAGGAGGGTGTGTCCAGGCGTCAAGCTAGCCGCACGGCCTCGACGGGTATTCTTCACAAGGTACTGGTGAACGCGGTGCAAACGCTAGGAAAGGATCGAGCCGATACTCGAAAATCTGCATCCGCCCTACCATCAACGGTAAATAGTGGAAATGGTGTGCCCCGCCGATCCCAATTTACTCTAGCTTGCGGCCTGAGCCACCGACTGTTGCTAGAACACGCCAGCAAGAATTCCATGGCTCTGACCTTATGGCGGTTTCCATGCTGAAGTTCTGCATGTTGGGTGCTAGCCAGTTGACCAATGCGTCCGGTTCAATCTTGTCCTGGAAACGCCACCCAAGGCCAGCCAATCAAGGTTAGACAACTCTTGTGGATTCAGACAATTATGATGGAACCGCGGCCTCAGATGAAGAATGGCGTGGCATGCAGGCATATCTAATGGCATCGACGCTGAAGAACCAGGTAGAACGAGCCATCCATGGCGACGAACGTCATTGTATACATACGCCACACGTCAAGATGGAAACACAGAACGCGACGTTCGACAACCCCGCCCATTGTTGAGAAAGAACGCCTCCTAACGCTTGCAGCCAAACTCCGCCAAAAACAAACCGGACGTCCTCGACCACTACTAGCCAGTCACAGAACGAACAAGCAGCGGACGCGCCCGCCTACTCTTCAAAATGACGATGCAAAACTTCGACATGCAGCGCCACCGACGGGGATCGATCCCAGCTGCGGCCCCGATCTCCCCGTTACAGTTCGGTCTTCACATAACAAGGCACTACCGTAGACATTGTACGTCACCTAAGGACAAAAAAGAAAATCAACTTCGAAGGCCACGTCCAGGCAGACGATTGTCATCTTTGCCCGGTGGAGACATTCTGGCCATGAGGTGAGCGAAATGGACTGCAAGGTGAACAGCCGCAAAAAATGTTTGGGTTGTATAGGCGCAACATTCCATCCCACGATGCCTCACGGCGTATCCTAACCCTACCGTTCCCTACGGTATTTCGCATCCCGTCATGACGTTAGAACTCCTGCTCATCCTCTGTTGCACAATGTCGTTCTGAGCTCCGGTACCTCACCTGGAACTGCCAGCCTAGGTCGGACATTACCCGGAACTCGGGAGCCAGAGACCGCGGGATGCCTTCCTTCTGCATGAGGTCCAGGTAGCTGAAAATCGCCGTTAGGACATGGAAGCGGTTCAGCAGACCCTCCCACGTCAGATCGACTGAGATCTGGCCAGCAAAAACAAAAAAACTGATANATGACGTTAGAACTCCTGCTCATCCTCTGTTGCACAATGTCGTTCTGAGCTCCGGTACCTCACCTGGAACTGCCAGCCTAGGTCGGACATTACCCGGAGCTCGGGAGCCAGAGACCGCGGGATGCCTTCCTTCTGCATGAGGTCCAGGTAGCTAAAAATCGCCGTTAGGACATGGAAGCGGTTCAGCAGACCCTCCTGCGTCAGATCGACTGAGATCTGGCCAGCAAAAACACGAAAACCGATTACGGCATGAACGGGGGATAGGGTGTCAAGTAGCCGCAGGGAAGGTGCAACTCTCATGTAGAGAAGCAGGCTGGGGGGTGTACTCATACGGTAACCGTGCACGTTGTGGTCGTCAGCCCATTGACTTCGCACCCCTACAAAGCTNCTCACGGCGTATCCTAACCCTACCGTTCCCTACGGTATTTCGCATCCCGTCATGACGTTAGAACTCCTGCTCATCCTCTGTTGCACAATGTCGTTCTGAGCTCCGGTACCTCACCTGGAACTGCCAGCCTAGGTCGGACATTACCCGGAGCTCGGGAGCCAGAGACCGCGGGATGCCTTCCTTCTGCATGAGGTCCAGGTAGCTAAAAATCGCCGTTAGGACATGGAAGCGGTTCAGCAGACCCTCCTGCGTCAGATCGACTGAGATCTGGCCAGCAAAAACACGAAAACCGATTACGGCATGAACGGGGGATAGGNCTCACCTGGAACTGCCAGCCTAGGTCGGACATTACCCGGAACTCGGGAGCCAGAGACCGCGGGATGCCTTCCTTCTGCATGAGGTCCAGGTAGCTGAAAATCGCCGTTAGGACATGGAAGCGGTTCAGCAGACCCTCCCACGTCAGATCGACTGAGATCTGGCCAGCAAAAACAAAAAAACTGATAACGGCATGAACGGGGGATAGGGTGTCAAGTAGCCGCAGGGAAGGTGCAACTCTCATGTAGAGAAGCAGGCAGGGGGGTGTACTCATACGGTAACCGTGCACGTCGTGGTCGTCAGCCCATTGACTTCGCACCCCTACAAAGCAGGGACGGAGCATGCCGGGTTCGCACTGGGCCAGGCTATCAGGGGTGGGGTCATTCAAAGGGCATTCCCACTGCACCTTTCGTTCAACAAAATAGGCTGGATTGTTGAGTACAGAATAGGCTGGATTGTTGAGTAGGTGAACTAAGGGACGACGGTGCGCTGTGCCATGCACCTACAGTTCATACCTCGAAAATTGGTGAAGTCGTCGTTCGAGGCCGAGCACCCCGCGTTAAGCGCGTTGGCCCAGCCCTTGCCCTTTAGATACGACAGGAGCGATCCAGGACCCTCGTACTCCTTACCGGTGCAGCACACAAGGCACACGCACACACCATTCGTGAGCAAGTGCGCGAGATGAAGGGCAGCGACCCCGACCAGCGGTGCGCATGATTGTCGAGACAAGAAGCGCAAAAGTGTCGCGTGAGCTCGCAGCCTCGCGAGACGATGTTCTGCGGGAAGCATGCGCTTCAGAAGGGTGTAGATACTCTTGGAAGCTACATAGATAATAGACTCGAAATCGATGTGGCCTCGACTAGCGTCGAGACGAAAGCATGGTCAAGCTTCCATCGTGCGAGGAGAACCCCTGACGGCCTTCAACAACAGTTCAGTGACTGCAGGCAGCGATGCTACGCCCAACGTCAATGTCATCCTGTAGTTCATACGGGCCTGTCCACAAGGAGCCCAGCCATGACCACTGCTGCGGCCAAGCCCCAAAGGTTCGCCGTTTCGCTCCACAACCCGAAGTTTCCAGAAGCCACAAGGACAAATGCTAGTATTTCCCCTTGCTCGAGGTACCTGGTGACCCTTACAAAATCTTCTCTTGACATCGATATTCAACGTGTTCTTGCACCAAAAGTACCCCAGACCTCCTCGAACGAAGTACATATCGAAGTTGCTGCTTCCCTCTCACCACCACGTATGCAATGTAGCTGAACGGCGCCGCGTCGAGGTAATCCTTTCTTTCTTCGTAGGAGTCGAAATTCAGCGTCCACGAAACCTCCAACGAGTGCAAGTCCTATCAAGGCACGAACGGCAGCATGCAGGCAGACGGTGGACAGAGATATGTCAATCAAGTGCACAACAATGCTGCATTGCACAGCACCTTTGTCAACTGCACATACAGACACGAAAGGGGGCATACGAAACCAAAAGCAATCTGCATCTACCTCCGAGCTGAGAAACAAGTACCGAGGCAAGGAAGATAGACATGTCAATAACAACAACAACAACAACAACAGCGGTGCACCTACCCACCTGAACCGGGACCACATTGAAAGCCTGCACGTCAACAACAACAACAACAACAACAACATAAACAGCGATCCACCTACCCACCTTAACCGGGACCACGTTAAAAGCCTGCAACGGTTTCGCCCGGTCGTCGAGAAACGGTTTCACTTTCCCGATCCACGCCGAGGACGGCCGGAGCCCGCAGCCGCGCTTGGGCACAGCAGAAAACTTCTCCTCGACGGCCTGCTGCAGCTCCGACAACGACTCCTTGCCCAGTACGACAAGAGTCATCTGGTTCGCGGCGTAATGCCTGTAGGCAGCAGTCCGACCGAGAGGCAATCAGGTTCTGTTCTTGAAAAATTGTTTTCTATCATGGTAAATGCCAGGTGTCTTGGAACCGTCCCAGATTGAGGGGTCCTTTCCTGGATGTCTGGGGAAACTCGCTTTGCAGAGTCAGTCAAGCCTACAAGGTGGTGTTGTTGCTTCCGATACAGCGCTATTGCAAGTCAGGCTACGAGAGCGATCCGGTTCGACGGGCTTTGTCGGTCGTAGCCGACAGAACAGGTGGGAAACGCGTTCGCCGGTGCTGCTCAATCCACTACCTGAAGCAGGCAGGCGAAGTACCGGAGAACGTGCTCCCGTACCGTGTGAGAAATTGTGTGGAACGAAACATAGCCATACGCGAAAAGGGGGGTCAGCATGTGTTCCAACCACGTGGGGGCAAGGGCGACAACTGCATCCTCGATGCCACCGGTGGAGGCTAACAAGCGAGAGCAGCCAAGGCACGATGAAGTTGACCGAACCTTCATTTGATCACGGTCACTCAGCACGCCGTCAAGTAGTTGTAAGCCAGGAAGCAGGGGCAAAGTGGGCCCAAAAAGCGTCAAGAAGCAAATTGTCTACTGGGTCATGAAAATGGACTACTCATGCATGAAAGAAGGGCAACAGGGCCTCCCGGGCATTCTTTCCCTTAGCTGCCGGATCTTCCAGCAAGCTCTTGCGGTTGCCCCCGCCGAACTTGGAGTAAGGGTGCTTGGGGTTAGCCCTGGAGCATAACAAACAAGCGAAGCACAAAACGAAAACGACCGTGGATCAGATAGGTTGCTGGGTAAGCAAGGCAGACGAGGCAAAAAGTAAGGTGGATTTCCGCGCGGGATTGCAAAAAATCAGTGGTACGAAACGTGCTCCTAAAGCACGCCAAATATCGATCCGAACTCTCGTTCAGCACGAAAGGGCTAAACGGAAGCTGGGTGTGTCTTGTTCCCCACTTTGAGCTCGGAGTAACAAAGCTAATGAGGTGTTTAAGATTTCTCCCTGCTGGAAATGTGTGCGAATGACAGTATCGTCTCTCGTAGGCGATCGCACAGGTAAAGGACAACAGGCGAACGGCGCGTTGACCAAGTAGCCGTGATTCTCTACTCACTATCCGATTCTGAAGAGTGGGTAGTCGGAGTGTCCTTACAACGGCACAGGAGATGAGGGATTGGGGGCGGCGTACGTAGCCATGTAGACACCTATAATCGCATTGCCTCACGATGCGCACTCTGGGTGGTGTGTGATACCAGTCGGGCCATACGAACTATTCACCCCATCAATTGGTGCTGGGGGGCAGAATCCACAAGGCAAGCGAGGGCGGATCACTCAAACAACCATGCGCAGCGGTCGTGCCCAACTTCTTTTGCTACCAGGCCGGCCTAGGAAGAAAGGCGATTGGATAAAAAGGGGGAGATGAGACGCTGGGCCACCATTGCCAAAATGTGGGGCACTGCTGCAAAATTCGACAGAGCGGTATCGTCGTCAGCAGGGAACAGGGGACACCAGCAGTCATACCACGGGACCTGGGTTTTGTCACGTACACATTACTTGTTGCCGTTTGACAATAGCCGCCAGTTCATTTTTCTACGGCCAAACTCTGTTCTTGGAGTACGGGTGAGGGTCTGCAACCCCAAGCGCATACCTGGAATTCTCTATGAGCAGGAGCCGCCAGTAGTCACAGGTTAGATCTTTCGCGTTCTCCGATTCGATAGCGTTAAGTTCCCTCTCCGTGGCGGACTCGGTGAACTTCATGCAGAAACCGCCGAGAAAAACAGTTTTTGAACTCCCTAGTGAGTCCTCAGAATGTGTCAGCCAGTGATACTTGTTGCTGGTTGTCAATAAGGGAGAATGTGAACGTTAGTGCTGCCCACCTCATGTCAGTCCCTTCCCTTCGCGGAGGACAGGAGATCTCACAGGATAACCCAAACCGCGTCATGGCTCTACCGATAGAGGTGACTTTCTACGGTGCTAACTCAATCCCTACGGACATGCATTGTCTGGTGTTGAACCAAACGACGGTGAGCGACAAACAAGAAGGGCCGTTTCAACCCCCTACCGATCTCCTTCTGAGCCCGTTGCGCGTCCCAACCTCCAAAAACTACGCCATATTTCTCGAGCCTCTCCGTCGGTGGTACAATACACTGTTAGGAGAAGGTTGTATTACCGCTGCACAACCTGCGGCGGATGAACGCTTCAATGCACCATTCCTCGCAACACCTTCGACAAAAGGTTCAGACCTGAGCGCTGCCCCCCCCAACCCCCGCCCCGCAACCTTCCCGCTCCGTGAGCGACAATTCGCATTAAAAATAGTCCAGAGAGATAGGAGCACGCGGATACAGAAGGGGTGTCACTCATTTCCAGCACTATCGGCGGTACCCCGTCTCGAAAAAGATGCGCAGTCAAATGACTAAGGGGACAAAAACCATTAGTACATTCCCTCCGTCAAGAACTGCGGGGTCCCCCACTCCCCCCACCTGCGGTGCGATGAAGAATTGGGCGAAGCGGTCTAGCGCTCCGTCGGGCCCGGCGAGATGGTCCGAGGCTACATTGAAGTAGTACACTGTGTCTTCGGAAGCCGTATAGGCGTTCGAAGACCCTCCGTGGGACTTGAGGTGCGCCTCGTAGCTGACGACCAACCGTGAACAGCAACGGACACGCAACAGTGGTAGCATCATTAACAGCAATAGCAACAACATCGGAAAAACATCGGTAATAAAGCATCAACAACAGCAACAGCGACAGCAACAGCAACGAAAAATCATTAGTCGCACCTACAACAGCGCCAGCAACCTACGCCATCGAGACAAACATCAACCATGAGAACGGCAACAACGGTATCCGCAGGAAAAATATTTCGGGCTGGCAATGACATCGGACGCCAAGAATACCTACCTGCATTCTAGGAAACGATATCCCCAGGCCCGCCGAAAGAAACGGCAAGAGCGACCGCGATGTTGCAAGCCGGGACCAACTGAAGGTTGAAGGAAATTTAACTTGCTGTGCTGTTCAACACAGGTACGGTAACGAGACAATTCTCTCGGAACGGAAGCAGAATGCAGTCGAAGACCACATAATGTTCGTGCGTGTGGACGATACTTCAACAATAAAAGAAAAGGCTGATGGTGTGGGTCTCACGGCAGACGAGCAACAATACAGACCGGTTCGCCCGCGCAAGCTGTTATGCTAAGCCGGGACATCACCCACGACGGCGGGGCATCACGTAAAACCGCTTGTGTGTGCCACGAACGACAGTTAGATAGGTAATTTCCAAAGAAAAGAAAACTTGCCTCGACTCGTCCGGGTACTTGTCGGTGCCAAGGAACAGGAGGTGTTCGCAGAAATGAGCCAGGCCTGGCAAGTCATCTGTCGTTCATGGTCGGAATACGCGGGGCCGGCGGGCGGGGGGTGTTTTCTGTGTAGGTGCAACGCCGCAGTGACGTATGTGTCCCATCCTGTTCGGGAATAAGGGGACCATTGTGGTATTCGCCCTTGAACCCGAATGTCTTGTACCTTCGTCGCAGCTCCAAGGGCCATTGTGGTACTATGTACCAGGCTACTCTCACTGGAGGAAAGAGAGACGGACAAGGTTTACGAAGTCCAAGTTGAGAAAGAATCGAAGCAGGGCTGGTCAAACAAGCCTCGGCACACCCAGCACGCAGTCACAACCCAAAAAAATATCCACGGGCACAAGCAATCCTAGTCCAAGTAATGTTTCGAAAACGGATGAAATGACAAATCTTGTTTTTGCTTGGACAACCTATACAAAGAAAGAATATCAACGCAACAAAAGACCCTGGAGGGAGCACGCAGACCCTGACCCTACCCACAACTCCAACTTAGCCGATTCTAACTTTATCCAGTTCACCATGTTTGCTTGCTCAGAAAAGCCTGCGTCGACCACTGGCTTACCTGGGTCAGAGAAGTAGCCAACGTGTACGTCCATCGCCGCGGCGGAGACCTTGGTGTCCGGGTCAGAGATAACGATAGCCTGGACAACCACATCCACCACAAAAGCAGGCGGTGGTCGACAAAAAACGAGACGGGTGCTGTGCAGTGAGCTGTCTCCATGAGTGTCTTCTCGGAGCTACATGCGGTATTTTTCGACGTCGGGAGGCGCCACCCGCTGCTTTGCATGAAATGAGACGTGGCGTGCAGTGCTAGCACAGAATAGGTCAGGACTGTCCCTAAATTGGAAATTTTGTCGGCGAAGTTGGCAACTCGACGATTAGAACCACGTGTGGCATGATGATGGAGACAACCAACTCGAAGTAAAGTGTTCTCCGGGATCTTGGCAGCGATTTTTAGTTGTACAGAGGAACGAAGGGCGTCAGGGGGGAAACCGCGAATGAATTCAGCTCGTAAACATCTTCCATCAACAAGGAAAAAAGTCGCGACTCCCACGAGGAGAAATGTGGTAATAGCCGAGGGTCGGATGTGGGGTTGACCAAGAGGGAAGCGATCCCATACGTTGGTTGTAATGTCGTGTAGTGTTATAAGTAGGTTACTGCTATTGTTACCGTTGCTGCTCGTTTGTCCACCGAGTGGCCATTTTCTAGACAGTCAGACGACAGAGAGTAGAGGTGCTTGGCTGTCGAACGAAGGCGGAACATCACACAAAACTGTCGGAGGCGGTAGGCAACAAAAGTGATTCCGGGTTATCCTCGTGCTTAGTCGTGCTGCGCTTTCACCCGCTTCTCACCTTTATGCGCTTTTCTCACCTTCATGCCGCTTGGTAGCTCCAACGCACGGTAGGCCCGCTCGTCGTTCGGGCTCTTCTCCACCTGCACCGTCGCGCGAAACAGATGCAACAACAGAGTCCATTTCAACGTCTGTTTCAGTCTGCCCGACACCAGCATGGTGTGCTCAAACACGCAAAAGAAAACAAAGCGTTACGCACGACACACCAAGTGTGGTCGTGTTCAATTCTGTGGCACGTCACGACAATTCGAGGACGCCAGGAAGATCGGTATCTCCGTTGAACGAGAGAGCCCACCTTAACATGGCACCCTCTCTTTCACGGCAGGCACGCCAAAGACGGTCGCGTTAGCCCTAGACGCATACAGATGAGTCGTTCGTGAAAGTGATGAGTCACTAGGTTAGATTAGCTCGCGAACCGGTAGCAGATCGTATCCACCCACTCTTTTCGCTTCTGACGTGCCGCGCGCTTGAGCTTCTTGTTTTCAACGCCTTCGGCGGACTGAATGAAACACCTTCCCTCATCACACTTTCTCCCCCGATCATCTTCATCGACAGACGAGTCTCGCTTCTCGCTGTTTGTGTCCGAATACAACAACACTGCAGCGCCGACAACCGGTATCGTGAGCTTGACCACTTGTCCTTCAACCTCGCAAAAATGAAGGTCGCCCGTGGCGTACAAATTTTCTCTTCAATTACATCATGCTAGTTCATAGTCCCTTTCATCCTTACACTATTCTAGACCTCTAGAAAATACACGGCAACAGTTTCATTGTCTATCGGTTGCTCACCTGTATTTCAGATTTTATTTCGGCTGTCACGTCTGGGACAGCAACCTTTTCACGCCCTTGCTCTGCAACGGGTGGTGCGTTGTTGGCTTGCTGGTTGGTGGCAGATAAACAGAACAGCAGCAATACGGGCAGTGTGCGAGAGGCGGGGAAGGCATTGCTGTTGGAGAGAGATTGACGTGTATGACAGGATTTTTTCGGTTTTTTTCGTTTTCGCTTCGCTTGGACAATTCTTTGTTTCTCGATAACAGAACTCCACACAAAAATCAATATTGCAGCCACTTTTGGCCTGGTCTTAAGAACTGAGAGCCCAGCCTAGACTAGGCTAAAACTAGAGGTAGTGTGGGCGCCTAACAGCTGTACCCGTGCCCCGTCAATTGTCCAAAATAGAGCAACATTCTTCGGATCAAAGGCCACCGCTACTCACAAGCAGTTGATGTCGCAATCCCCATCCCTCTTCATACCAGGTCCGCATTCTGCGCTCACGAGGTATAGTGTCAGAACCGTTACGGGGTTTGGAACCCTGACTATTATCGAACCCAACGAAAATACGAAAATACAGTTTGAAGGGCCTGCACTCAAGAACCTCTACTAATACTAGTGCTGTATTTAGTTTTGGTCGAGACTGGGGTGTCCTTATTTGCTTTGCTCGGGGTTCTGCTACAAATGGCCGTTTATACGTTTTCGTGGAAGGGTGCTACTGTGTTGTTGTTGTTGTTGCCTTCACATTGAAAACCGTTCCGATCTCTCTCTACCCAGTACCTTCATTTGCCCGTACTGATCCAACACTTGACGCGGTCGATTCCCGTGGTCACAGGCTCACTTACCTCTAAAAAGGTAAACTCCCATAAACTGGCCCCGAGGGGTCCGCAAGTCAATTGAAATAAAGAAATGAAAGGAAACAGAAGGAAAGAGAAAAGGAAACGGAAAAGAGGCTACTGTAAATCGAGCTCGAACATAGTGTGCAAGACTGATTTTTCAGGCCACGGTCATATCTGTGCGCGCTAGCTGAAAAAAACATCCATGCACCCCTCACACCACGCTCATATCTATAGTATATGTATAGCAGCACTCATATACAGACGAATACACCCAAAAGCTGTCTACGAGTATGTACAACCGCTAGGGCGTGTGTGGTCGCTTGACGTGGCGTGTCACTGACTTTTTTACCTCTACAGACACGTCCGGGCGAACTTGGCACCTGCTCCCAGAGCAGCAGTCTGAAGATCAGAGACTGCGATGCGATGCCTACAGAGTGCGTAATCCAGATTGATTGCCCGCGGGGAAAAATGCACCGTAATACCGTTGTTGATGTCGGAGGTGGGGATCTTGCACGGCTCGGCACGGCCTCCAACAAGCAAATAAGACACCAGCACACGCAGCAGGCCGCTCGGGTTGCAAGAAAAAGAAGCAGAGCGGTTTCACAAAGCATCCAACACTCTTGACGTGCCCGAAAAAAACTGTTCTTCGATCGAATTGTGTTTGTCCGCATTGATTGTTGGATATCCTCCTGGGACCCAGGAGTCGAACAACAGCGGCAGCAGCAGCGGCAGCAGCAGCAGAAAGAAGGCACGCAGAAAACTACTGCTACTGCTGTATACGGCTATAACACAATTGCGTTGCTTACCGGAGTTGCCGCAGCAGCCATGTCCTCGGTGCAAGTCATGGTTGCAACGATCGAGCGAATGTGGAAGAGCTGGTGCAGAACACGGCGGCGGTAGTGATATCGAACCGGGCGGGATGATGATGGTGGATGCTGCTGCTGCTGCCAATCTGCCGACAGATGGCAGCAGAGGATAGCAGAAGAAGAAGCAGAATGGGCGGACCAGCACAACGAGGTACATCGAGTGCTGCTGTAGTGTGAGCGAGGTGGATTGGTGTACACGTTGCCGAGAAGTAAATGCCTAACAAAGCTCACACCCGGCGCGCACACGCCCGGACTCACCCATGATCGATTGCTATCTACAGCAATAGGTTAATTTCTAGTCGAAAGCGGTTACTTGTCCCTAATCACCACGCGTTGGTTGTGAGTCAATACAACCACCACGCGGGAACACTTTTTTCTTTCGTAACCAGAGAGAGGCAGGCAGGGCAGCTTGCACACAATCCATGCAGAGCCTTGAGCAGAGCGGTCCCCCGTTCGTTGTGCACAATCCATGCCGTGCACCCCGTGGTCTACGCTTGTTGCATGT